TTGCATGGAACAGAATTGTTTCCAGTTCAACAACTTTTTCTTCAAACAGCATGAAGGCAAGCAATGGAAAACCCACTCTCTTCCTTCGTAGCTCATCGGTTCATGAGCAGATTTGAATAGGTAGCAAAAGAAGTCTTCAAAATGTCAGGTAACTCATGCAACTCCACTTTTTGATCATTCAAAACGATTTTGTGGATTTTTTTATGTTTTCTGGAGTTACTGCCTCTTTGGACGTCCATCAGTGTCTATACGATCACGTTTGATGTCAGTAAACCAACGTTTAATTGTTGTTCCTGATGTTGCGCTTGAACGGTTTTTTTTATTAAGTAGCAGTGTAAAATTAAAACACGGAATTGTTTTTGATCCATTGTTTCGGAAATAACAAAAGTAGTGTCACTCTTAGAACAATAACTCGCAAAGTTTTGAGTGAAATATCATGAAATTTCAACAGCTTCCTTTTAAAGGTTAGTACTGACTGCAAAAGCGGTGAATGCAATAAGACTAGCGCCATCTATGTGTTAGGCCCGACACTTCTAGTTCTTTAAGTAATATAAATTATTATTTTCCTTCTTTAAACGAAATATTAAAAATGAAGTCGTTCTTGGGGACTTTTGAAGATTGCCAGCTTTTCGAAAGAATGCGTCAGCTTTGCATTGTTTATTATGTACTACCTGGCGAAATATTTCTTATCTAAAAGGCACTTTTATGTCTGGATTATATTAGAAATGTTTCAAGTACTTTTGGTTCAGATTCTATTTCAAGATGAAGTATGGTTTGTTTAGAAAGCCAATCAATATATTCAGGAAGTGTATTATGGTTTTCGAACTTTTCCGCCAACACAAAAGTTGTTTGGTTTCCATAACTTTATACAAAAACAAAAGATATTTCAGGTATTGTTCGCTCAAACTCACTACATACCAGTTCAATGATAACCATAACAAATCAACAGCACTTTTCTCAATGTCCTGTACAAATCCCGCGAATCCTCACATAACAAAGTCAACACAATCCGCTTTTGAAATCCAGAAAAGTGTGTTCTGTCACAGACACCATGACGTTCTCTCTTTTGTGTCTGCAGTGCTTGAATATGTAAACGGATACAACAACTACCGAAATCAGGATTACCACAGCGACCGCACTTAGGGCGACCGAATTCAAGTAGGCCGTGGGAAATCCTCTGTGGGCCGAACAGTTGGATTCCTGCTCATCGTTTCCCGAGGGACAGTGTCTCAGGCCGTCGCACCAAAGTTCCGAACTTATACAGGCCCCCAGCTCCGGACAGCTGCAAGAGTTGAAAGACATCAGCAAGTTGGGTGATTGGAGTATGTTTTCTTTGTTGGAGTTGGAAACTGTATCAGAACTCAAACCACTGCAGGGGTTTGACAGAAACTCCCTCAGCTTTTAATAACTCTTGAGAAACTTTTTGAAATCAGTAATTTTTTTCTCATTCTTGAATTATAAAAACCAACAGAGAGAAAAGGATATGGCATAATATTCAATACTTTCTTCGTGTTTTTCAATTTTTCATATACTTACATTTCAAAATACAAATTGACACATAGATTTTTTTCTGGTATCCAGAATTTTTCTCCAACACAATATTGTCACAATTGAAGATAAATAAAACAGGTTTTTGTGAACTAAACTAACAAAAATGGTGCAAATGAATTTGAAAAATGGCTATGTTCTAATTCCATTATATTATTATTTCTTTTGATATATCTTCAGTAAACAATCATTGATGAAATACATTTTTTCCACTTCTTTATGTATTTCATATTGATATGGGCCGAAAATCACTGATGCAATATTAGAAACACTAGATTAGTACTATTTTTTAATGAATATCTAATAATCAAATAAAACATATAGCTTGAACTCACCTATGTTGACATTCTGGAGGTGCAATCACTGAAAAAGAATTAGGCAAAATCAACGCTGGATTTTTCGATACCTCCATCCACGTGACAGCAAAGTTACCAGTCTCTTTTCTCGAAAATTCAATTATGAAACTTCTGGAATTTTTATCCCGCATCTTTTTACGATTATACAGATTCCATCCCTCAGAAAACATCTCCACAACATCATCCACACTCTCGTGATGAGGGCAGATTACGTGAACCACCTTCGTTTCACCTGCAGGATACACGAGAATCCGATTTTTGCTAGGACAAAGCCTTTGGTCCCTCTTCTGTGTACCTTTGATCTTGAGGTAGATGAAGTTGTTCTCTTCCTCTGGCTCGATCAACCAAGGCTGCTGCAGGCAAAATGTAACACTGTGGTTCTGATAAAACTTGTCGTCTGTTTCTCTCTGTTCTTGATTCCGTATAGTTACCTCACCACTGGAACCCCGAAGTCTTCTATTGCTCCAGGGGTTCAAGCAATTGTTTTCGCTAGGAACTAGCTCGTAGTTGGCGTCGAAAAAGTAACTATTATGATCCTCCGTTAGATTCATTTTTTTAACGACGAATCTAACTACCACTTTACTGGAGGTTTTTGTGGTGATACTGAACGGTTCCGCGATATTATGACAAATGCAATCCCGGACAAACTCCACGTCGTTCCACGGATATTCCAGAATCTGGATGAAAGCTACTCCTTCATCCACCCTATGAGGTCTACACTCCCACCTGTTTGCATCTGGATCGTGTACCGAATGGCACTCTTTCGATCCGAATTGAGCCTTGTTGAACGTAACTTTCAACCTTTGATGATCATTCGATTCGAACTGATATGTGCAGGTTAAGTCTTGTTTTCCACCTCGCCCGAAAAGGAAGACGATTTTCGGCGAGAAAAATCTTCCTTTCGAGCCTCGGAAGAGTCTATCACAGGGGTTTCTGGAGAACTGTGTTCCCTCTTGGAACAAGTCTACGAATTCATATCTGAGTATGAATTTCACTGGATACATGATGCTGCCGTACCTGATGGAATGGGATATGGTGAGGTCAGTGTTTGTACTGACGTAGCTTTCACTCAAACCGCACGGTCGGGTGAGTCTGGTAAGGTTGTTCAACAAATGGTGATCGCACAACTTGGGCTTGTCGTCCTTGCAGAATTGGCCGATTAGTGGAATAGTGTTTTTGGTTTTTATATCTCCGTCCCAAATTTGTAGCTGGACGTCGCAGTCTCCCGCATTGAAATCCGTCTGCCTTTCGTTGGTGACTTGATATTTGATGAAAGATATCCAAACTATCTCTGTAGCGTGGCCCCGGAAGTGGTAATGACAGGTTGTATTGGGGGGGAGTGAGTGAAGAGGACTTTTCAGGTATCCTGAAGTATTTTCAAAGGTTGTTACCAGGAATTCGCACTTCTTTCCGTGTTCGATGTATGTTGGAGATTCAGCTGGTTGATTTTTCGGGCTGTTTCGGCAGAGCTGTGGTTCAATTTGAATTCGTTAAGAAAAATTGGCCGACAGCATATAGCAATGAGCCTAGGCAAAAAATTAAAATGTGGAAAAAAATGAACAGCATTAATCTATTGAGTACACAATTCTCTATCAATCAATATATACCACGACTCAATGGAATAAATATGCATCGAGATATGTGGCTACAAAAACACATAACATTAAAACAGTCGAAACACTTGAAACAATCTAATAAACCATCTCAGACTCCACCCTATCTTTCAACAAATTATTATTAAGCACTTCCTCTGGACTCTACTTTTAATGTTTCAACGAATCCATCCTGGGGCATTAAGATTGGGTGGATTATTTTAGCGCTCAAGGCTGTTAAGAAACATCTCCATACCTCAATCTCTAATTCAAATCCGGGTAAGTAGGATATAGGCAGCGGGTGGAACGGATTTCCATATGGAGAAGTGTGGAATTTCACTACGAGTTCTGGTCCACTGCTGATGATTTCAGGAATAGTTTCTCCGCTGCATAAGTGAGCTAGAGTTATGGCGGTAGATCCCCAGCCGTCGAGAATTTCAATGAAATCCTGCATCATATTACAGTGGTCCCATATTCTGAAACATTACTATAAGCGTGATATACAGAAAATAAACATTTAAATATAAAGCATGGAGTTTTGTTATGAACTGTGTTTGGGAATATAGTATGCGTTACTCTTCATTAGAAAATTGGGAAGACCCTGAATTGGAAGTTTCAGTAGATCGTCATTTTTATCAGATATGCTCAAACACGGTTGGATTATCTTTGAGGTGTTTTGAAAGTTGAATGGGAATCGCTGGAGATTACATTATCAACAAGAAGGTACGTGATTTTTGATTCAGGAATATGTTTTCGAAATGTGTTGTCCAAGAATCGCTACTCAGTGGCAAGGTAAAAGACATCTTGAAAATGTATTCTAAATGTGAATATCATTTCTGTTGTTTCAAATTCAAAATGTATTAATTTCTTCAGATTTCTGAAAATATTTAGAAAAAAAGATTAGGTATAACATTTAACGTATTAGTATCACCGAAGAGCTAATTTAAAGTAGAATTCGAGGGTGTAGACCAATAAACAAGGTGTTTCATTCGAAAACTCTCATAAATGTTGAACTCTGAAATATTAAAAATCAGAGTAACATATGAAGAAATACGAATATTCCTCAGAACATAACATGCTATTTTTGTATCGTCTGAGTCACCTATTCATGATGATAATTACACACTCTCCACAAACATTTTAATTTCTAGACGTGTCTGTGTGTGTATATATTCAATGTAATTCTTATGTTATTTAAAGTTACTTCCAATGCAAAGTATTTTTTACGTAAGACCCGTACAAGAATCAATTATTCTCCTGGATATTTTTGATTATTGTTTCTTTGACTAGTGTCATTATTATTCTATGTATAAATGTATACTTTTATATTCTTGGGATAAGACAGTTTAATCTTCCTCTTGTAATATTCGATATTGTATTTTTCAATAATTCATTCAAGAAGATAATTATGAGAATCCATAAAATGAAAGAAAATGACAGATTTCCAAATGAATGAAAAGTGTACATAATAGTTGTTCTACTTTTTTCAATAGGATATATTGCCTTTCCTAGCCCTTGTAACTCGAAACATAATTTATCGCATTCACGTCTGATGAGTTCGGTGGCTAATCTATCCCTGCAATTCCTTTTTCCTCCACGTTTTGCACAGCCAGTGTTCGATGTGGTGGGGCATTATCATCCTTAAATACAAAATCATCACCTATGGCGCCACGGAACAGTCGAACCACATCCAAAATGACATTTTGAAAGTTAAATTACCCCGTCATTGTCCTAGGTACAATCATTAATGGTGTTCTTGTTGAATAGATGATACCACCCACAACTTAATGCCTCCACGTTGATTTATAAGCCCAAAACGGCTTTCATTGGAAAACATGGTATTTCGCCACTGACATTGGTTCCATTATGAATGGATTCTTGCCCAGTTCAAACGTCTTCGTCTGTATGCGGCTTTGTACGGCTTGACAAATTGATGAAAATGTCTTCCTTAGCCTTGTGCTGTTTCAAAGGACTTCCTGTGTGGATACTGCAACAGGTATCGATCCTGACGTGGTGTTGTCCATTTTTTCTGACCGTGGCGGTGCATTTCGTGAACATGACCACGTTCTGTGAACCTCGAGATCACTATTAGAAACCGTCCTCTAGATAAAACCTAGTTCGTTATATGCCATTGGGTCTACCCTTGCTCAGGCAAAGTTACAATTCTCATATGATCTTCTCCAGATAAACGTGCACCAGGCATTACACATGAATAACTGCCGCTATATTATCAGACACGAGTTGAAAATTCACTGATTTTAAGTTCTTAATTTGAAAATTTTAATATAACCGTGGACATAGTTTTTTGTGTTCCAACATTTGGGCTGATTTTTTGTGGTAACCGATCCTATGACAGATTAAGATATACCTACTTCATTCTTTGAAATCTGGTTCTTCATAAAATTTGGGTCTAATGTAATACTTATGCCAGTGAGTGTATATTGAATGTTGATGCTTTTGAATAAATATCGGATGGTAATTTATCCAATTTTTTAGTTACATTTCTTATTATAGATTTCATCTATAGACTTTTAAACCTCACTTTTTTCTTTCAACCTGTTTCGGAAACATCTATTCCCTTTCTTGATTTATTGAAGAAAACTCATAATGAATAAATGTTAGCGTGGATTTTATATTAGTCGAAGTGATCGAGTTGTTCTCAACGTAGAAACCGCAATGTTGGAATTTGTTTCTGGGTTTATATCATCATATAGTTGAAAGTGTAAGTGTAAGTGTAAGTCGAATAAATTTTACTCAAAAGCAGCAACATTTCTGGACAAATTTAGTCATTTTCCCTTCAAAATTCATTCATTTTATAAAGTTTATTGATGAAAGGGAAGTGAAAACCCAAAACATCCAGAAGTAATTGCATTCCAGTGTATAGAAATTGTGACAATACATTATAGAATCAGTGGTTACATCACAGATTCATCAATCTCGAGTTCAAGTTCATTTGAACTCACCCTATTTGAAAACTAAGTTTCTGAACTCCGCGTAGTCAGCGAATGTTGCATCTTCTTGATTATCAACTCCATACAATAGCTTCCCGTAACAATACAACAACTACCAGTTGAGTAACTCACCTCAAAAGTCGATCGCTATTATCAAACTTGCTGACGTGTTCCTTGTAGTGGAAATTTGCCTGTCTGATGGCAATTAGGGCGTGTTTTCCTTGGGGAACGTTCCTTTCTCGAACTCTGTAGTGGCAGCTCACATTCCTCGGATAGATCCCTGGATAATTGGGAGACTGAATGCGACACAGCCTCCTGGAGCAACCTTCTAATAAGCGGTCGCAGTAAGAACCGCTGCTAAGTTTGCCTCTGGAGAAGATACGTCATATTAAGCCAATCAACTAGCTCGGGGAGTTTATGTCAAAACGTCTGAGGTATCAAAACTAATTAGAGTTGGGGTAAGTTTTGATAATTTCGTGTGTTCTTGGGAGACAACTCAATTTACAAAATTTCTACCCGAGGTATTTTGGCAAAAGATCTCAGCGCGATGTTTACTGCGGCTTTATGTCAACAACTACGATCTCCTTGAAAATCACTTTATTAATCCTGTAGAACTTACAAAGTTATAGGATAGGTCAAATAGCATTTTGTACATACATAAAATAATACTAAAAATAAAATTAAACAAAACATACATGAATGATTGTCATATGCATACAATGATGGACAAAACATATCAACTTCATTTAACAGAACTTAGTTTCAATATCAGTTTATTACAATGACTCTTCCAGTTCAAAATTTACATTCATCAGATAAAGAAAGTGTGTTTTCATTCTCATTGATTTTAATTTTTAGATTTGAACAGATTTTTTGCCTGTGATGAAACCGGACTAATACAAATTTTCGACAGTTAAATGAAGTGAATTAGTGGCAAATTTTGTCGTCTTTGTCCGAAATTAGAAGTGATGTGTCATCTGCATTCTTAACAATCGCGGCCCCAACATCATTACAGTATAATATAAATACTAGCGGTCCCAACACGGATCCCTGAGGTACTCCGATGGTCAAAACTTGAGTATTTGAAATACATTTATAATGACTATTTTCAGATCTATGATTCACCGAAACATATTGACTCCTCTTTCTCGTGAAAGACTATCCAGTTAAGGTCATTTCCTCTTATTCCATATGAATATAATTTATTAATAATATCGTCGCCCTGCTGAGATCACAAAATATTCTAGCAGGGCACTCACCAGCCTCGATGTACTCCAAAATTTTTGAGTAAAAAGATGTCACAGCAGTAAAAGTGGACATATTGGATTGAAAACCATGTTGAATCAGGGAGATAATCAATACATCAAGTATTCGTGTAATGCCTTTGAAAATTGCGTATTTTTCACCGGTTTTGAGTTATTTTTTGCCACCTCAAATCTTCAGGAGTTGGCTGTATTGATTTTTATAATAATAATCGACTTTATTTATCACAATAGGTAAAGGATATCATAGGTATTTGTATTTACATTAATTGAAGAAGACCTTTGACGAGTTTTTCAATTCAAACCTGTACCATCTTGTACGAAATTTATCAGGTTCGTCTCTAGAAAATGTAGTAAATTGTATACTTTTCCTCTTGCAAGTTTGGAATGAAAACAAAAATGCGGCCTCACAAATATTTGCCAAACTATGTTCAGGGCAAGTTAAAAGTTCCTTTTTCATTCAGTTTCTACGAAAAAGGGAGAAAATATTTTTAGCATCTAGACACAAAGGGGGTATTGAGGGGCATCTTTGATTTTTTATTTCTAGGTCAATAAAAATAACCGTTTTTGTAGAATTCTTGATACAATTAATAAAATATTTGAACAATTTGAAGTTTTCATATATCTATCTTCTCATCTTCCTTGAATTCCAACTTGTTAAATAATAATTACCGTCGGTAATATTTGAAACATTAATGTCAAAAAAAATTGAGTGAAGAACTCTCGGTCACTAATAAACAAACTCGTGACTTACGCCTATGACGTCACACAGAAACAGATCAATGTGGTTTGAAAATTTCTGTGAAATTTCCTCCAGTGTATTCGACGAAAAAGTATATTAATCAAATTTATTTACCTGTAAGACCGCTGAGTGGCATTTCCGTATCGAATTCGTGCGTCGCTCACTTTCAAGAATTTGTAGGAGAGCTTGAACTCGAAGTTGCTGCCTGAGTTCTGCTGAAATTAAAGCGAATGTAAAAGTTCATTGATCCATGGCGAAAGTTGGTAATTTACTTGTTCAAGTTCGTATAGTTTTCATCAAAAATATATTGATTCCACATGAATAAAAGGGGACACTTTTGTCATGAAATTGTTCGGTTCATTACTCAAACTTTGACAGGGATAAATTGCTGTTATTTCCAAAACAAAGAAACGGAATATTGTGTTGTGGGAGTTGTTTGTTAGAATTCAGGTCAGGAAAGAAAAGTTCAAGTCAATATATCGGGTGGAAACACTATTGGCTTCTCATGGACGGTTGTGTTTCGGAAGATTAGTAGAAACTGCTTTTAGACATGGATCTAAGTTGAAATAGGAATTTGAAGAGTCCTACGTTATTTCAGAGGAAAAAAAATGAATTTTGATAATGTGTATTACAGATTTTCTCATAAAAATTCCATATACTTTGTGTGAAACCTTATTGTAGGGCATCCTACTCTATCAAAAGACGAATAAAAGTTTGAATAAGGCTAACACGAGGCTACATGTCTAGAGGCAGTCGCATTCAATTCAGTTGAAATAATCAAACCGCAAAGCAGCCCAATGCCAGCTTTCCGCATGAATTCGATATATGAATATGAAATGAGAGATTTTCATTTAATTGTAATCCTGAAAATGAATTGCCGACTTGACGCACTTCTTGAATTTTCCTGAGAAATTCACTTGAGTGCACATTTGAAGATAGTGCAGATTATTTTCAAAGTATGGAGAGAAATCTGTTATCAACAAGAAGAAAAGTAGGAGACCAAGCACTGAACTTTGAAGAATACCACAGGTAACTGCAAGAGACATGAAAGTCTCATTATTGAATGAAAGCATGAGCATGAGAGCATCGTCTTCCTTTTGAAGGTTAGTACTAACTGAAAAAGCGGTGAATGCAATAAGACTATCGCCATCTATGTGTTAGGATCGACACTTTTCAGTCAATGTAGTATACAACACACTTTGATCTTAGTCATGGCCGCAATGTAGTCTAGACGGAAATCAAGATAGACTCTAATACTATTGAATGAGCCATTTCAGTTATCAAACTCTGTTGGATAATTGCAGTGAGAATCTGAGAGCTCAAGAGTTGTATTAGGATTTTTAATATCATGCCGTTTACATATTTCTCTTTATTGTTACTGTTAGATACTATATATAGTTCTGCAATTGCCGATGTATCCGTTTGGCCATAGCGGCCACTTTTCTCAAGCTCATTTTCGTGGTTCCGATGTAGAACGAACCACAACTACACGGTATTTGGTATACTCGTGGCAGTGTACCAAATGGATATTTGGGATAATAAACCCGAAAAAATCGGACAATTTGTTAAGACACCGGCAGATAAAGCCTACACATCAGGAGTAAAAAAACTCTGATTTGAACTGGGAACAAGAAGCATCTGCAAGTGTACCTATGAGAAAATTTACATTAAATGTCTGTTAATATGATATTCATCGTGGTATTTTATCTAAAATATTTATGACCATACTTTTTTTCTCCAGTCTGAATTTGATTTTATTAAATGAGTAATGGACACATGAAATTTTGAGTAGGAGAACATATGTCTTTGCCTTTTCAACAACTGATTATATCACCTAATTTTTTATTTTGCTTTTGTACACATTCATACTTTTATTTTCAGTTTTTTGTTTGCACATCATCCCAGGAAGTTCCTAATATTGATCACCCCGCACAAAACTGTCATCACTCGCAAGTAAACACAGTTGACACAAAAACTTTTTCACGTCTTCAAGAAACCCATTATTTCGGCGGAACGCAACATCGGATAGGATACTCGCACGAACCTAATATCCACTCCATTTTCCGAGAAAATGAACCTATTATGTTTTTATCAGATTGGTGAATCACGATCATATTTTTCATGACAGCAATTTAGTGGGGCTGTGAAAATACCTCATTTTCCTACACAAAGAATCCGAATAAACGGATTGTATCACAAAAGACAAACGTTCAATGAAGTGGATGATGAGCAAAAGAAAAAAAAAAAGATTTGTTTTGGGTAGTGTTGAAATTTTTGGAAAAGAAAAGTTTTGGCTTCCTACTTCCCCATCAATTTAATAAATTAACTTATACAAAGATGTGTAGACCATGCAAAAAAGTAACTTTCAGACACAAACTGTGAATCACCAAACATAAAAGAATTTTTGAACAAGTTCCACCTATGCTTGCCACTTTTTACAGAATAACCACGATTTCAACATGGATTACGACACATTCCATAGAGAAAATAAGGGACAAAAATTGAACCTGCCAGAATAGCTGTGAATTATTGAACGCAAATATTCAAATTGTGATTCAAATGACCAGCAGAAAGTTATTCGTTCACCATTCTGTTCTCATCAAATGTCATTAATTAACATATTCACATATTAACCATTTTCCCAAAAGTATTAATGTATTGTACCTAATTTGTGCTTTCTAAATCTACCTGTTTTGGCAGAATTAATAATTTATCTATTAACGTTTGTTATAACCCAGTGTTATAGAAATAGATTGATGTATCAGTAACTGATGAAGCCACCGTGTAGAGAAACGCGTTTTAATTAAAATTTATTGTGAGTATTTTGTGGTTATTATCATAGAGAGTATTATTAGTTTCATTAATGGAAAGGAGAATAATTGAATACAACTTATTTCAAAACTTACTTCAAACCTTCAATCAGCTATGAACTTCTCGAAACGACTGATAAGAATTATCCTCCCGAAATGAGAAGAATGTTTATGATGTTTTCAAATATAATTTGCTGAAACTCAGTAGGAATGATCAAATATCCAGGAGTCCTCAAGAAAGTCATTATCCGAGCCTGTCACAAAGGTTTTGAACTTTTCTCTTTGTCTTTCCATCGAACAAACATTTCGAACCCTACGGCTGTACTTAACATAAAAATAAGAACCTCCGTCAAGTCTGCTTTTTGTCAAAACTTGAAATTCGGCGTGAAACAAAAGTTGCGGCAACATGAAATATTCATGAATTTCCATAACACTTTTTCTGGCGCAAATTTAAAAACAGAACCGGAACACTTGAACTTTTCGAGTACAGTTCAGAGTGATTTGTTGATATTCGAGAATATCATTAGAACATGCTTATTCAGCAGTAACTATGGCGATAATTGTGGTAAACTGATGTGATAATGAAAATATACCAAAAGAGAAAATTAGTGTCTCCTCTGATAGGTTCAGTTTGCAAATTTATTTTTTCATTAACTTTAGAAACCAGACCTGAAAATGTGTTGTTGCAACAATTGTCAGAATAAATTTGTTAGTGAAAACTGTCGTGTGAATATATTATCATTTTATTTTATCTTATTTTGTAGATTTTCTTGTCGAATTCGATTGATAGTATTTTTCAACATGTTCGATATTTCAATCGAATACCAACAAATATTGATTCCAGCAACAATCTCTGCTACACAACAATTCGCTACACTAATAATCCGAGATATGAAATCGATAAATAATACCTACCAAAGTTAATGAAGGCAAAGACAGCCTCAATTCAGGTGTCGATATCAATGACAGATAGTGAAAATGATGGCTCGTAATAATTTATTCACAAACAAATGTTTTCTGACATTGATTTTTTTCGGCTACATGTTTGAAACACCCTCAAATGAAATGAATCGATTTGAAAGTTTCACAATATACAATCCACTTTCCGAAGTGATTTCAGTCACTCAACTAAAGGATCAGAACATGCAAACACTCCACTAACTCAATAACTCCCTGAACATGCATATTCGAGCAATAGATTCATAATTTGATAAGATCGAAGAATTTGAATATTTACTACACTTAATAATTCGTATTCCTTGTCGTTATTTATCAAAGCATCAATTACGTTAACGGAGTTATGGAATAATGACCACTTTATCCCCCAAGAAAATAAAGCCATTAAAGCTTTATCAGAATTGATCACATTTTTCACGAGGGCAATTTAAGACGACATAAAAAATAACCCTCTTCCCATTCCAGACAACAGATTTGAGAAGGGCCGTTATATTCAAGGAGAATGAGACTGATATTTCACGTTATATTTTGGAATTAATGTTTCTGAAAAGTCAAATGCCACGATGGGGTAATGGAGGAATAAAAGTATTGCTCGGATGATAAATTAACCTTTGAGTTACTCTGGTAAACATGAGAATTGCCTTGTGGCATGATTTCATGAATTATAAAGTCAGTTGGGCTCTACGAGAGTTTTTATTCTCATAAATATTTCGTGGTTCATTTCTTTACACGAAAAAACACAATCAAGTTAGTCCTGACCTAAGGAAGCTAAATCGATCGATCGGTTTGAAATGACCAGAAATATATTTTTACTGCCTGAATATTCGTCTCAGAAACTTTTCAAAAACAGGTATATTCATCTTTCTCCTCATAACCTTTCCTAAACTCAAACTTTATCTTTTCATGCATATTATACGTAACTTCCACACATCTTTCTGAAGAGTTTATTGTGAAATTAATGTTTTCTACCTTCCTTTGGGAGTTTTCTACATTTTTTGATGAAGATGGAGAAGTAGATAGCCAAAATCTTCCGTCCCCAAAAATTAATATTTCCTAAAAAAACACCCCTTCGAATCACATTTTCAAACTGCAGTGTTAATGAAATAGATAAGAAATATTTTCGAAAATGAATATTGATTTATTGTAAAAAAAACATACAAATAAATATATTTTTAGAAACAGCGGCTATCAATAAAGTATAGTAGAATTGTTTTTATTTTTCGTGTAAACTGTGTTTCCTGCTGAAGCATCATCAGCGATTTTTCTATAAATATACCCCATAGAGGTGTATATGATGTGCCGAAATTCTGGTAAAAATACCAAACCCCTGCTTTCCATGTGAGATCTACGATTTCATAGGTATGTGTGGTAAGTACTCAACGATAAAAAAACAATAGCCAACCAACCCAGCTAATTCCGCACAGAAAACTGAAGTTAAACTATCAGAAACCTGTGCAACGTCGCAAGTAACTGCCTGTATATGGAAAGCTGAAACTAATTTCATTTCCTCGTGAGTTACGACTCACGAACGAGTATGTTATATAAACAAATTCTCCTAATACGACAAGGTTTATATTTGGAGGAACTTCTTGACTACAGAGTGTCCAGCGTGTGCAATTTCTTTTGAACTGAGTAATTTTGGAGAACTCAAACTTATTTTGATGTGCCAGGTATAGAAAATATTTAGAGGAGAGACAATAGCGAGTTTATGCAACACACTTTTCAAGACTAAGACCAAGACTGAGATTAAGACCGAGACTAAGACTGAGACTAATACTAAGACTAAGACTAAGACTAAGACCAAGAACCAAAAACTGAGAGTTCGATCATAACAAATCAACGATAGATTTAATGAAAACTCAACAATGAGACTGAGAAATATGACAACTGACAATTATGACTGGAAAATTGGCCAACATTCAACTAAAAACTAAGAGCTTTAGCATGCGCCAAATTGGAATAATTAGAACGGTCATTGACCGGGACATTTCAAAAAGATTGTTTCAAATTTGTTTCTATTGTAGCAATGGAACACATAAATGGAAGGGTGAATATTTTTGTTTATATGAAATAATTTTCTGAAGCATCAAATGAAGAATAATTGTGGTTATATTGACATGTGTATGAACAGGACACTTTTCTAAGGTATAGTCTTAGTTTCTAGTTATTAGGTTCAGTTCCTAGGTATTGCTGCATGAACCCGCTAAACATGAAAACCCGTGTAGTGACAACATTCTTCTAAACATCTAGTGAGACGAGATACGCTCGCTCAATAATTGCTTTCGCTCTCTGGCGGAAATAAGTCGTGTTCTTTTAATCACACAACAAATCACCTACCTGTTGATGGGGCCTGTCCAAAGTTAGCGTGAGATTAATGCTGGGAGTCTCGCTGTAATAGACCGTATAACCCCAGGCGCTTCCACACCATTTGCCGCCAGAAGTTGGACGATTCGATTCCCTTATCGACATGAATCCATCGGGACACCCTTCTGATGTGAAGGATTCGAACGTGCCCACCGAGAAGGACTCGAAGCTCAACTGCAAGACAAATACGTGATTTTGATATGCGGGCGAAACGTGTCGAAATATGTAAGCGACTTTTTTGGAGTAGTTTTTTTGTCGAATGTTGAGTTTTTAGTAGTTCATACTGCAAGAAACAAAGTATCTCTGGAATGAAAGGCCGGTATACAATGTGTCCGAAATAAGAAAGACCAGTAGCTGCAAAAGGTTGCCCATTTCAGAGCTTATTCAGTTAACGTTAAAAAATTTGTGAAATTTCGATTATACCGGGTAGCGGAAATTTAATTCTACCCTATTGCTTACTCAGTCACGGCAGAAGTTACGATGTTGGTTGAATTGGACAAAAAATGTACTTTTTAGAACGCAATGTTGAGAAATCTAGACTACCTTAAACCATTCTCGAAATAATTGAAAAAAAGTGAAATCGTCGATTGGGATTTTTCTGTTCTGATATCTTCACTGCATAAAATATGAAGAAAATATATGAAAGTTTTCTACTGAACTTCATGAAGTTTACAATATGCATTAATTTTATTTTTTATTCGGCGTTTCGTTTACGTAGGTTCATTTCTTGAGCCAATTATAATGCCTCTTTCAATCTTACATTTACCTAAGTACCACTTACATTTCTTTCTCTACGTTTGCCAATTTCTAGTAAAACTGAAGTGACTTTCACGTTTACTAAGCAGATACACAGGCCAACGATGAAAAACACTGTTTTACTTAAAACACCTTATTATTCTGCTTTTTAGGGTGGTAAATCCAAATATGACACTCATTAGGCCGTATCACCTACCATTTTTTCACATTTGCACATCAATATATCAACTTTTTTGATTTATTACAGAATTAAACAGCTTTTATATAGGTACTACAAATAAAATTGTAAAATAATTTGTGCTGGATGAAGAAGAGTTGGCAGCACTGCTGAAACACATTTACTGTCCAGAAAAAAGGGAATTATATTGTTCTGTTCACAGCTGATGTTTTGTTCACTGTCAACCTAACCTTACTTTCTGGTTTCCAGTACATATGCTCATTAAAATGTCTAATCGCGGTTATAAGAACTCTGCTAACAGTTTTTGTTATATTTGTACTACAGTTTTGTACAGTTTTCTGGTTCGGAACAGTGTTCCAAGCTTTTGAAATAGAATATTATCCATTATTCGAAACCAACCGACGAAAACAAAATTATATTTGGACATGGAAAAGTCTTGAAGGATCTCTTTTCTCTATAACCTGTTTCAAGCAGAAACATTTCTCTCGAAAACAACGTAAAACCGACTTGAAACTCGTCTACTTCACATTATCGAACGTTAAAGTTGCTGCCTCAAGTGTCTTGTGATATTATTAAGAAAATACAAAAAATGAATTCTGAAAGTTCACTTCTATACCGAAACGAAATCACATTCAGGCGGTTTATAGCAAGACATTTCTTTCTGGTATCAACTCCATTGTGGAAACAGTCATAAACAACAGTGAAACATATGATATTACTCTTATCAGGTCAATTATTCGACCAGAATGCCCGTAAAAATCATGGAATGAACGTTTGTGAACGGAATATGAGTCCAAATATGCACATTTCCTCCATAATCTGCTGTAGCGGGAAATAATCGCCACCAGGAATAAAACATAGTCGCATGGAATTGAATATTATGTCTCTGTTGTTTCGTGAGCTTTTTGGTTTTGTAAAATAAAATTCAATTTCACTGTATCAACATATTTTTGACGTAAAAATCTTAAGCTATAAACGAAATAAGTGAATAGATAATTGAATGAATGAATGTACATTTTTGTAGATAGATATATAGATAAATAAGTTTTTCACCTTTATGTCACTTGTCAACAAACTATTAAAAAGTATGAAATGTCCAAGAAAATATAGAAATTCAAACATTCCAAGCATTTAATATACAATAATTAGTAGGTGAAGTTATCAGAAATATCTCGTTTTATGTTGACTATTTTCGTTTTTCCCAATTCAGTTTGTATTCCAAACATTCGTTATAGACACCCTTTCTTAGAAACACTATACAATATAATACGAGTGTACGGAAAAGTTACAACCTAAAATTTATGTATTCATTAGAAATTCGTTGTTTCTGGGGGATTTTTCTGCCAGTTTGTATTTTTAGTAACTTTTATGAATGTCCTGAACATTTTATTTTGAAATTGATTGCTGTCCCCATTCCTTTGTAAGTCCTCCACAATTTTAGAATGAAGATGGAGAAGTAGAAAGTCAAGAAAGTTTCTTCCAAAAAATAGTTACAAGAGAATGGTTACCCTACTAGTCTCTACTAGTATCTACTAGTATATCTATACATGAAACTACCTGATGACGCCAGGCTTTTATGTAACTCTTAAAATTATTCTTCATATGCACTTTTATTTGATTACAATCTCATTTTGTTAAACTTGACCTAGAAGTCATAATTGCAGATGAATAGAGGTTAACTGAAGCTGATTTCTTACGATTATCCAGAGAAGCAAACATTGTACACAGAAAAAGTATATCGTATTGACGAACATTTTCCAGAATCATAAAATATTTTAACTCATGGAATTCAGCTGGTATTTTTTTCATTCGGTTGGACAAGAAAAGAGATTCAAAATAATGCAACAAGAACTGTCTCTTGCAATTTTCAGAAGTACTCATTCAGATGTGCCCTGAATAATTCCTAGAGGACACTCTGCAAAATAAACAGCAAACATTTCGGATAGTATCCTCCAGAGAAAACTAATGTTCATGAATATTCAGTATATTCTCTCTAAGAATGCACCTCGTTTCAACAGAATGTTTCAGACAAGGATAATCACCACGCTGGAGGAATTTAATAAAACACTTTTCATGGAGGTGATTCGATGTCAGAACTGGGTATCGTTAATTAAAATTCAGTTTGATAGTTCTTTCACTCCAGTCAATCATTCTCGATGTTGAAATTACATACCGATGGATATGAATAGACGTGGCAGAACATGCTGGAAATATCAAGTTTGCATTGTGTGTTTCACTGGAAAAAGTTTGGGAACTGAAACATATGTTTCACATTGAATAGTTGCCTCGCATATTCAATTTCTAATCTAAAACTGTTGAGTTGGCTAATTATTAATGAAGAGAAGTAGTGCAATCGGCTTGATAATATGAAATGGTTTTATCGTTCAAAGAAAATAATAATTCAGTTGAATTGTTTTCAGTGTCCCTATTTTCCGGGTTTGAATTGTTTTGGTAACAAGAAAGATGGGGGTGGGTTGGTTGACAAGAATATATCTGTTTTTGTCGCCCTTCTTTGGGTATTTTCATCTTTTACAATCTGAAAAATATGAAAATTATTATGGAGAACATTATACACGTGTAAAAAGAACAAACTTTTTCCTCGAAGAGTTACTGCGTAAATTCGAAGTATTTTTCACAAAGAAAAATATTCTTGTCATTGGTATTTGATAATTTTGTCTGTCAAAAAATAGCTAAGAAGTTATTCAGTTACTCATCTGAACGTTTCGGAGGTCAAAATCTGCCACCGTCTTCAGAAATGGACAAAATTCAAGTTCATGCTGAGTTTTTCAATTGCTGATTCTTGTAAGACAGATGTCAGAAGAGTTCTGAAACGTGAACTTGTGTCAATATTTGTTGCTATTTGCCCACTATCCATATTTTTCTTCAAGATGGGTAGCCAAATACGATTCATATCTGATTTTTTTGTCTTTATTATTTTTGATAAACTTTCTCATCGAATTATCTTTTCTATATGCAATTTTAATAGTAGTAGTAGTAGTAAGATTTATTTTCTTTTTGAATTTGTTTACCTAGTTTTTTTGAGTGTATACCTCTGATTTTGATGAAAGTATTCTTGTTATTGAATGTATACAAACGTGATTACAATATGAGTAGACATGGCAGAGTGAGAACACCTAATTCTTTGAAAATTGGTCTGCATGATACATTTCTTTTCTTTCCAGCAATTATTTTAAACAGCATCTTCTGTGCCAAGAATACGTCATTGAACATTTTTGTAGTTGTCCCACCAACATATACCATATCTCATAGTAGAAGCTGCTAAGCTGTGATACAACATTAATATCTGAGGACTTTTCAGAACTGGTCTTAAAATTCTTAACTAATATCTTGTTTATTCAAAAGTAAAGCCACTTTTTCTGTTGTTTGTCCAAAATATGTCGAAGCGCAACACGAGTGTAAAGTTCTCTATTTAAACTTTCATATTTTTCATATTGGAGAAGGTGAAAGTACCCAAAGAAGGTCGATAGAAAACCGAATTTCCCCCACAAAAATGATTTTTGTTCAATATCAACATATAATTCCTAATAGATCACTTCGTTTATTGTTTATGTATTCATCTAAGCTCATCATTTTGGAACCAGTCCTGCAATAGCATATAATACTAACGAATTACAAATGTAATTAATTGTCAGTTAGTCCTTTTTTGCCCATAACGAACGATATGTAGGCTCTTCGCCACTAATGAGTAGTATTTAGAGACTCCAAAGAAACACGTGAGTCGTTACATTCGAGTCATTTACCTACCCTAATAGATATACCTTCAGTATGCTGTGCGGTGCCTGGAATATCATTAGGTTGTGATTCGCAATTAATGCTGTACGGGCAACATTGTTCTCCGAATAATGAGGGAACCCTTTTAATGGAAAATCTGCTTTCGACCGTATTTCATTTTGATTAGGGAGAAGCGTACCAGGTGTTGTCTCGAGATTTTATGACATTTTAATGGGAAAGTTGATTTTTCCTAGAAATACTGTCAGTTTCATAATTATGAATAATAATTACGGAGAGATTTTTGTGGAAATGCGGTGAATTGAATAAGCTATGAGATGGATAACTAATATACAATGAGGATGTGAATATAACATTATCTGCTCTCTTAACTTTCAGAAATATGAAAAAGCTATTGTATAGCAAAACACGATAACCAGTTGCGGTTATCGTGTTGCGATTTTCTTAAAAGATATGGGAGTAGAATGTCAAAAATGTATTTTCTGTCACA